GCTCGAGTCTTCTTCGCAATACAATCAAGTTGGCGGGGGCCCAGCCACGACGACAAAGGCTCCTGCTCGATATTTCCTCACGATTTACTTCGAGAGCCCCTGGCCAGGAAGGCCCCCCGACCTCAGGCACGGCGCTGTCGCTCGAGACTTCCTCATGATTCAGTCAGATTCGTGGAGGCCCACATGCGACGACAAGGGCTCCCGTTCGATACTTCTTCAAGATGTATTCGCAGAGGCCCTTGCCCACCGACGTCCTGGCGCGCTGCCCACCGAGGCCCCCAACACACAACACATGCTGCCCGCAGGCCCTCCGGCACAGCCCACACAGGCGCCAAGCGCGTCCACGGAAGCTCCCCCGCGCTGCCCACAGAGGCCGAAATCGCGCCCACAGAGGGCCCAGCGCGCTGCCCATTGAGGCCCCCGACACCCACAGAGGCCTCAGCCCACAGAGGCCCCAAGCGCGCCCACAGAGGCCCCAAGCGCGCCCACAGAGGCCTTCGACACAATCCACAACAGCCCAAGCCCCCGCCCAACGGAGGCCCCGACGCGCTGCCCACGGAGGCCCCCCGTTCCACAGAGGCCCCGCGCGCGCCCACAGAGGCCCCGAGCGCGCCCACAGAGGCTCCCGCGCGCTGCCCACTGAGGCCTTCCGGCACAGCCCACAGAGGCCCCAAACGCGCCCACAGAGGCCCCAGCCCGCAGAGGCCCCAAGCGCGCCCACAGAAGGCCCAGCGCGCTGCCCACTGAGGCCCCCGACACAGCCCACAGAGGCCTCAGCCCACAGAGGCCCCAAGCGCGCCCACAGAGGCCCCAAGCGCGCCCACAGAGGCCCCAGCCCGCAGAGGCCCCAGTTGCGCCCACAGAGGCCCCAGCGCGCTTCCCTCTGAGGCCCCCGACACAGCCCACAGAGGCCCCAACCCACAGAGGCCCCCGACACAATCCACAACAGCCCAAGCCCCCGCCCCAAGCGTGCCCACGGAGGCCCCAACGCGCTGCCCACGGAGGCCCCCCGTTCCACAGAGACCCCGCGCGCGCCCACAGAGGCTCCAGCACACAGAGGCCCCGAGCGCGCCCACAGAGGCTCCCGCGCGCTGCCCACTGAGGCCTTCCGGCACAGCCCGCAGAGGCCCCAAGCGCGCCCACAGAGGCCCCAGCCCGCAGAGGCCCCAAGCGCGCCCACAGAAGGCCCAGCGCGCTGCCCACTGAGGCCCCCGACACAGCCCACAGAGGCCCCAGCCCACAGAGGCCCCAAGCGCGCCCACAGAAGGCCCCAGCGCGCTGCCCACGGAGGCCCCAGCCCGCAGATGCCCCAAGCGCGCCCACAGAGGGCCCAGCGCGCTGCCCACTGAGCACTCCAACGCAGTGCCCAGGGCACGGAGGCGGACCTCACTGACCGAAAGGATTTGATGGACCCGGAGTGCAAAGTCGTGCTCACAGACTTCGGCACCGCCACGCGTGTGGCCGCCGACGAGCGGTTGAGCGCCGCCGTCGGCACCAAGATATTCTGGGCACCCGAGTTTTTCGACAGGAACTACAGCCTGAAGGTCAGAGGAGGAGGAGGAGGATGATGATGAGGAGGAGGAGGAGGAGGAAAGGAGGAGTCAGGAGGAGGAGGAGGAGGAGGAGGAGGAGAGGGAGGAGGAGGAGGAGGAGGAGGAGGAGGAGGAGGAGGTGTAAACCCAAGAGGCATCAACGATGTTGGAATAAACCCTCCCTCCAAGATCCCTTTTCATAGGCCCTTAGAACGGCTCATTTTTACTCAGGGAACTGCCTCGTTGGAAGACAATTGTTCGAAGACCCTGTAGCATGCCAAAACACTGTTCTCGGGATTCCAACGCCACGGATCAACCTGACTGTTGCGCCTTGACGATCTTGAAACTTGTCAGAACGCCATTCCTGGGACGTGAACACCGTGAATCAACATAACTTGTGCAGCCCCATAAGCCTGAAGCCTTACAAAACACAATTTCTGGTACACTGTTCATGGGAATCCCTTGAACTGTTGCAAACGTTTAAAACGAATATGCGCGGCGCTAAAGCGAGAGCCACATTTTGAATAGGAACCGCCCTCAATCCGTGAAACCCCTGCAAGTGTTCAAGACAAGTGTGCGCGGCGCTAAGGCGAGAGCCACATGTTGAAAACGGATCGCCCTCAATCCGTGAAGTTCTTGCAAATGTTTAAACCGAATGTGCGCGGCGCTACGGCGAGAGCCACATGTTGAAAACGGATCGCCCTCAATCCGCGTTTGCAACTTTTGAAGACGAATGGGCGCGGTGCTACGGCGAGAACCACATTTTGAAAACCACCCGGCCTCCCATCTGTGAAAGTGTCGTCAATTTTGTAAGCTTCAGAGTCATACATGGTGAGGAAGTCTCAGGCGAGAAGCCCGGCCCGCCCTAAAATCTTGCCTCGGGGTGCGACAGGGAGAAGTTATTGTCAGGAGAAGGAATGGAGGAGGAGGAGGAGGAGGAGGAGGAGGAGGAGGAGGAGGAGGAGGAGGAGGAGGAGGAGGAGGGGGAGAGGAGGAAAAGGTACCGCCACCGCCACCTCTCCATGTTTTTTCGCCTTTTTGGGGTCTCCTGGGTGTGTTCCTCGTGGCCACATCTGGGCTCGCCTCGACGTGCGGTCAGCACGCACTCTGGGAGAGGCCCAAGGCGTGGTGGTATGAGTACCCTCAAGTCGGGCCTTTCCCTCTACGGGGGGAACATTCAAAAATAATTAAAAATAATGTGGGGACAATTTCTAATATATATATATATATATATACACACATATGAATATGTGCTTTAAAAATGTTTGACTACTTCGAACTTTTTCCTTCAAAATTCGCCTGAAGAGGGACATGCCCCACCTAAGGGCACCCTTTGGTTTCCCCAGAAGGTGGACGTGTGGGCGATGGGCGTCATCATGTACGGCCTCGTGAGCGGACGCTTCCCCTTCGTGGGCGAGGCCGACGTCCGCGCGAAGGAGCTGAGGATGTCGAGGCGGATCGCTCGGCCCTGCCAGGACTTCATCCGGAAGATCCTGGAGAAGACGGAGGCTGCGCGGCTGTCCGCGGACCAGGCGATGAGACATGACTGGTTCTGCGCGCGCAGCCGCAGCCGCTCGAGCTCGGGTCAGGCCGGGGCGGGGGACGGCCGACCAGGTGTCGTGACATCGGACGACGACGGCCCTACTCATAACATGAGGGCTGGCAGCACGAACGACGGCATCAAGGCGAGACGAAAGGAACTGATCGATCGGCTGAACAAGGAGCACAACATCCTCGGCAGCCAGAATGGATTTGGAAACCAGCTCACGCTGAAGCCGCCACGTCACCACGCCGATGGGGACCAGTTCGTTCTCAAAGACAAGGCGAATAATCGTACGGTCTACGTGTGGATGGACAGGGCGAGGCAGAGGGCAAGTAAGATCCCAGACACCCAGAGGAAGGCATCTTCCAAGTCGCTGCTGAAAGAGAACGGCTTTGACGTCCACATGGTATCCAACATATTGGAGGATCATAACATCGATATCAGCGCTTTCGGAAGAGGCGAGGCGAAGCCACTGTCTCAGCTGGCCGCAGAGGTCGACAGTGGAGCCGCCCGGCTCATGCTGGACGCCACCCAGCACAAACAATTGGTGCGCGTGTGCGACATCGTTGAGCTCATACTCAGAAGTGGTGGCGGCGAGCGCATCCTGATCGAGACGGGGGAAGAACTCTGCCACGGCGGCAAGCGCGTCACCAACCGACTGCCCAGCGCGAAGAAGGAGCCCCACCAGAGCACGCGGCAGGTCGCCGAGAGGATCTTGAAGGAGTTTCTCCAGCTCGACCCCGAGGGCGTAAAGTTTGATCTTGGGAGGATCGAGCGGGTGGAGGAGGAGATCGAATCTCAGTCATATCCGGGCATCAGGTCTGTCCACCGCAAGGAGCTTGTGGCAGGCACGTTCTCCACGGCAGACGCGGCTGTCCTCGCCAAGGTTGGGTTGCCCTCGTTCAGCGCCTGGCATGCCACCGACGCTGAGGGCAACACCAAGCTCTTCGGCTGGATGACCAGTGGCGAGTGCGACGACAGGCAGATCAAGCTGCAGCCAGAGGCCCAGAAGGTCTCGACGCTGGTGCGGGCACCCATCGGCCTCGGCGAGGAAGCGCTCCGCAGGCGCCTCACAAACTGTGGTGTCGATGCCAGCAAGTTCGGCGCCGACGGCGCAAAGACCCTGAAGGAATTCTCAGCAGAGCTTGTTAAGGGGGAGTCCGCATTGCTGGAGGACTCCTCCGGCAGAGTGGTGCGGATTGTGGACGTCGTGGTTGTGGCCATCTCAAGGAACGGGGGCAGCGAGCTGCTAGTGCAGACCGAGCAGATCAGCTCGAACGGCACCAGCAAGACGCTGAACCGGCTCCCCGGCGCGAAGCGCCGCCCCGACGAGAACCACTTCCTCAGCGCGCGCCGCATCATCCGAAGACAGCTCGAGATCGACGACAACAGGGTCGCCATGGACAGGGCGGTCCAGAGCGTCGAGGAGGAGATGCACTCGCCGTTCTATCCCGGCCTCATGACCGTGTACCGCAAGCGGCTCGTGAGTGGCGGCATGCGGACGGAGTGAGGCACCACACTGTAACCCCTCTTTTCGAAGCAGAACAAGCGCCCCATAAGTTCACGTTTATGCCGTTTATTTTTAGTATTCAACCCTCTACTCGTGTCCCTCCCTCGAGCATTTTTGCGAGGTGAAGGCATCACCCGCTCCGCCCTGAAGGGGCCCCGGCGACCGCTCGAACGAGCGTCCCATTGTACAGTCAAGACGCTGACATACGGACCACCTTGAGCTCAGGAGGGGCTGCGGTTTCCCGGCAGTTCCTTCGAAACTGAGGCTCGCCGTGGCCAGAAAGGCCCCGTCGTTCCTTATTTGGCGTTCCTTCTGGTAGGGCGCTGACTGTACTCCGTCTTCTTTCTCGAGCAGCGCTCCTCTCCCCCCTTCTCCCGACCGCTCCTGCCGCCTCGGGCTCCGCCTGGCCAGCGATGCTCGGGAGGGACAAGCAAACACAGACACAAGTGAACGTCCACTCCCGGGAGGATGTGCAAAATCCAGAGGAGGAGGAAGAGGAGGAGGAGGAGGAGGAGGAGGAGGAGGAGGAGGAGGAGGAGGAGGAGAAGAGGGAGGAGGGGGGAGGGGGAGGGGGAGGGGAGGAGGAGGAGGAGGAGGAGGAGGAGGAGGGAGGAGGGAGGAGGAGGAGGAGGAGGAGGAGCAGGTGGAGGAGGAGCAGGTGGAGGAGGAGGAGGAGGAGGAGGAAGAGGAGGAGGAGAAGGAGGAGGAGGAGGAGGTGGAATTACACCAGAGAAAACTCAATCAGTGGATGGTTTGATCGATATGGAGATCGACCAGGAACCCGGGCACCAGGAACCCACCGAAATCTGCCCGGAACCAATAACCAGGAACCCGGGAACCCAGGAACCTGGAACCGAGAGCCTGGGAACCTAGCCTTCCACCAAAATCGGCGGGACACTTTCGCCAAATCTTTCAATTTCCGCTAGGATCCCTTCAGTGCAAGCACTGGTTGGGGAAAGAGAGGGGGAGTGGAGCGGAGGAGGAAAATCCAGAGCATGTGGACAAAATATGGGGGATCCTGGAGCTTGTGTCGATTTATGAGTCATTTGTGTCTCCCTGGGCCTCTTTAGATGTTTCTAGGCAGCGCGCCGCACGTGGCGGCGAGCTCACCGGTCGGGGATATTCTTTGGTTGCGTTGCCGTTGAGACGCGCTCGCGCAGGATCTCGGCCTGGCGAATGCTGGGCAAGCTGCCGCGCTTCGATTCACTCCGCCATTGTACGGGCCCCTCGAAGAAGAGAAAACGGCATAAACATAAACTTAGGCGCTCCGCGCAGATTTCTTGGATCCGCGCTGGCCCCCGGCGGCGCCTGCGGTGCCGCCCTTGGCGCGCTCCGCGCGCCAGGGAGGGGGTCCGGCGCAGATCCCAGAAATCCGCGCGGAGTGCCAAAAGTTCATGTTTATAGCGTTTTTCTTCTTCTATACAGTGCACCCCTTCCTGCCGTGGGGCGTTCTTTAGACCGCCTTTGGCATGCAAACAGCTTATTCTGCGGTGTTCTGCACACTCGCTGGCCTTGCGCTCGCCTCCTCGCGCCGCCTCTCTCCTCGCCTCGCCTTCGCTCTGCCTTTCCCTGGCGGGTGTGGCTCCAGACGCCAGGGGTTGAGTCGGGCACGACCCTCTACAGGAGGAATATTCAAGAATGGCAAACAAGTCGTACGGTGACGATTGTCGTGCTATTTTGGTTACTTTTTGATTATGTTTGGACTCTTTCTTAGTTTGTTATAAGATCCGCCTGTACGAGGGCATGCCCGACCTAAGCCGAGGGCCGGATGGCCACACAAGAAATTGACCCGGGAGAGCTCTGAAGGGATGGCCATGGGGGCGGACGGTGTCGATCTTGTTTGCGAGTCGAGATGTTGCGTCGCCAGCAGGTCTCGAAGCCACCGTCAGACGCTCCCCCCTTTCACTCTCATCTCCCCCTCCCCTTCCTAGGAGTGGGCATTTGGCTTGGGCATGTTTCGCTCTCTACGGAGCGGCGGGCTCCCAATCCGTAATCGCTTTGGCTCGAGCAGCCATCCTTGGCTGCCGCAGCCCCATGCTTCGATCGGCTGCGAAGCCGTCGTTCCCAGAAGCAGCACTCGAGCTATGGCGGCGGGACCATGGAAGCTAGTCGCGCTCGTGCTCGCCGGCCTGTGGTCAACCAGCGCTGGACAAGCAGGTGGGAAAGGGCGTACTGAGATCACTGCTGTCGACAGGCAGCTTGCAAAGGACTGCCCATGGATCCTGGACTCTCCGCAGTGGGGGAGTCAGATTCGCCCCGTGGTGGAGAGCATTCATGGACTGAGCTGCACGCCGAAGCCACAGGGTCGACTGAAGCGGCTCGGTCACCTTGACATTTCTGGCATGTGGAACCTCACCCAGAGCATTCCAGAGTCGAAGTGGTTCGAGAATGACATGCGACAGAGGCGGTTCCCACCACACAAGCACACACAGTCCATCCTGCTGGTGTGGAACAAGAATCGGGGAACAAAGCATGGCCTAAATATAAATTCTCGGAGGTCCGTGCAGATTTCTTGGATTGGCGATGGACCCCTCTCCCTGGCGCGCAGAGCGCGCCAGGAGCGGCGCCGGAGGCGCCCCCAGGGGGATCCAGCGCCGATCCAAGAAATCCGCGCGGAGCGCCAACGGTTTCTGCTTTTTTTATGGTTTGTTTCCCGAGAAGAACGTGTTCACTGGCCACTTGGATCCAACACTCAAGGGAGCCATCACCTCGGAATTCTGGCCGTCCTTCGAGCCCCTCCTGAGACCTCTGGCCAGGCTGATCAAGGGCGCCTACGGCATGCGGCAGCCCATGGTGTGGAAGGCCATGCTGGCGCGGCTTCCAGCAGGCAAGAGCATAACGGAGCATTCGGACGCGAGTCCAGTCTTGAATTTTCCGCACCGTATCCATTGGGTCCTCCACACGAACCGCGACGTCGAGACCAATTGCGCAGTTGAAGACGGGGACGTGCCGACGCCCATTCCGGACATCGGCGAGGGTGACGTGTTCGAGTTGAACAACGTGCACAGGCACAGCGTGCACAACAGGGGGAGCGAGGGGAGAGTTCATCTCATCGTGGACGTATACCCGCACTCTCTCAAGGACGCGGGGGTGGAATCTTCCGCTGACGGCATAGATTTGCTCAGTGATTCTCCACGCACTGAGCTCTGACGAGCGTGGCCTTAACATCGCTGGAGATGGCGGCATCGCTCTCCCAGAAGAAAAAAATTATGCTAACGGAGTTCCCCACATAAAGATGTTACGGGGTTCCATTGCTTCTTGTCTGCGCTCTGGTGGGGCCTCCCTGGAGGGGTGGGAGGGGCACGACACCTGATGAATAATATTGTGTGCGAATACCCTGCCCGCTCTGGTGGGGCCTCCCTGGAGGGGTGGGAGGGGCACGAAACCTGATAAATAATATGGTGTACGGATACCCTGCCCGCTCTGGTGGGGCCTCCCTGGAGGGGTGGGAGGGGCACGACACCTGATAAATAACATGGTGTGCGAATACCCTGCCCGCTCTGGTGGGGCCTCCCTGGAGGGGCGGGAACGGCACGAAACCTAATAATAAAATATGGCGTGCGAATACCCTGCCCGCTCTGGCGGGGCCTCCCTGGAGTGGCGGGAGGGGCACGAAACCTGATAAATAATATGGTGTGCGAATGCCCTGCCCGCTCTGGTGGGGCCTCCCTGGAGGGGTGGGAGGGGCATGAAACCTGATAAATCATATGGTGTGCGAATACCCTGCCCGCTCTGGCGGGGCCTCCCTGGAATGTTGGGAGGGGCGCGAAACTTGATAAATAACATGGTGTGCGGATACCCTTCCCGCTCTGGTGGGGACTCCCTGGAGGGGTGGAGGGGCACGAAACCTGATAAATAATATGGTGTGCGAATACCCTGCCCGCTCTGGTGGGGCCTCCCTGGAGGGGTGGGAGGGGCACGAAACCTGATAAATAACATGGTGTGCGAATACCCTGCTCGCTCAGGCGGGGCCTCCCTGGAGGGGTGGGAGGGGCACGAAACCTGATAAATAACATGGTGTGCGAATACCTTGCTTGCTCAGGCTGGGCCTCCCTGGAGGGGTGGGAGTGGCACGAAACTTATAATAACATGGTGTGCGAATACCCTGCTCGCTCAGGCGGGGCCTCCCTGGAGGGGTGGGATGGGCAGGATACCTGATAAATAACATGGTGTGCGAACACCCTTCCCGCTCAGGTGGGGCCTCCCTGGAGGGGTGGGAGGGGCACGAAACCTGATAAATAGCATGGTGTGCGAATACCCTGCTCGCTCAGGCGGGGCCTCCCTGGAGGGATGGGTGGGGCAGGAAACCTGATACATATCATGGTGTGCGAATACCCTGCTCGCTCAGGCGGGGCCTCCCTGGAGGGGTGGGAGGGGCACGAAACCTGATAAATAACATGGTGTGCGAATACCCTGCTCGCTCAGGCGGGGCCTCCCTGGAGAGGTGGGAGGGGCACGAAACCTGATAAATAATATGGTGTGCGAATACCCTGCTCGCTCAGGCGGGGCCCCCCTGGAGGGGTGGGAGGGGCACGAAACCTGATAAATAACATGGTGTGCGAATACCCTGCTCGCTCAGGCGGGGCCCCTCTGGAGGGGTGGGAGGGGCACGAAACCTGATAAATAACATGGTGTGCGAATACCTGCCCGCTCAGGCGGGTCCTGGAGGGGTGGGAGGGGCACGAAACCTGATAAATACATGGTGTGCGAATACCCTGCTCGCTCAGGCGGGGCCTCCCTGGAGGGGTGGGAGGGGCACGAAACCTGATAAATACATGGTGTGCGAATACCCTGCTCGCTCAGGCGGGGCCTCCCTGGAGGGGTGGGAGGGGCACGAAACCTGAAAATAACATGGTGTGCGAATACCCTGCTCGCTCAGGCGGGGCCTCCCTGGAGGGGTGGGAGGGGCACGAAACCTGATAAATAACATGGTGTGCGAATACCCTGCTCGCTCAGGCGGGGCCTCCCTGGAGGGGTGGGAGGGGCACGAAACCTGATAAATAACATGGTGTGAGGAAAGGCATGGTATGGTATGGGATGGTGGATGCATGGTATGGTATGGTAAGGTATGGTATGGAGTGGCATGGTATTGGTATGGTATGATACAGTATGGGATGGTGGAGGAAGCGGGAGGAGGAGGAGGAGGAGGAGGAGGAGGAGGAGGAGGAGGAGGAGGAGGAGAGGATGTTCTGGGAAAACAAGAACCCCACTCAGGATGTAGGGAAGAAGCGTCGGGCGCCCATTACAACCAGCAGTTTCAACACTTGTAATGAAAGAAGCGGTTGCACCATTACTGTAATGAGCCCTGTGCAGCTGGCGCCGTGAGAACACAGCTCTTGACAGTTCGCGTATCCCCACCAGCACTTCCATAAATTATTCGGAATTGTGATGAGAAGGGAAGTGGAGCAGCATAAGGTGACATACTCGACGCTGATGTCCCTATATGTGCATCCTATTTTCTGGCACGTCCGGCTGTCCGTGACTGTGCGTGGTAGAGTTGTATTTAGCCTGCTACATCGCGGTGGCCATCGAAGTGCAAGACGAGCGCCTCGCTCGGGACATCCACACGATCTGGGCGCGAACGGTCCCATGGGATGCCTCCTGGCAGCTTCCCATTCTGGGGTGCTAAAGCAAGCGCCTCGCTCAAGGCATGTACATCATCTGCTCTGGTCATCCCCACAATCTGGGCCGCGAAGGGGCCAGTTATTCCCAGCCCTGGCGGCTCCCCACCACAGGGTGCTGAAACATGCGCCCCCATTCCCACAATCTGTTCTGAAGTTAGAGGAGTCCACGCCGCATCACGAGCGCCTCGCTCTGGACATCATTGCAATCTGGCTGCGAACGGGCAGGTGCTCCCGCCCCTAGCGGCTCCCCTCGGGGTGCTAAAACATGCGCCCTCCCCGTGAGTTCTCCGCAGTCTGGTTTGAGATCAGGCGAGTTCGATCAGCAGCACGGACGCCTCGCTTTGGAGAGCCTCACAATCTGGCCGCGAAGAGGCAAATGGCCCCGCCGCTGGCTGATCCGCTCTCGGGGTGCGAAAACGAGCGCCCCGCCCTAGACACCCCCTGATGGGCCTGGTTACCACCACCACCACCACCATATGTTGGAGGGGAGGGGGTCCTCCTCCTCCTCCACCTCCTCCTCCTCCTCCTCCTCCTTCTCCTCCTCCTCTTCCTCCTCCTCCTCCTCCTCCTCCTCCTCCTCTTCGTCCTCCTCCTCGTCGTCCTCCTCCTTCCCCCCTCCAGCCTCTGGTGGTGGTGGAAAGCGGGACCACCATCCCCACAGGGCTGCTCTGCCAGCGGGGGAGCCCGAGCCAGGAGAGCGAGCGCCTCGCTCTCCAGACAGCCTCGCAGGTCTGGCCGCGCAGCGGCACGCGTCCCCGCCTCGGGCGGCTCCTCCCCCCTGGGTGCCCGAGTGCCGTGCGTGCCGCGCAGCGGTGAGCGCGGGGGGCTTCTGTGAGCCGTTGGTACCGGGGGGTGGAGAGACCTCCTGCCCTGACACGTCGATGAAGGAATCGGCCGTTTTCGGTTCGCGAGAGGGCGTCGCGGCCGTCATTTTTGCGGGTCCAGGTCCGCCGATTTCGGCCCTAGGTCGTTTACACTAAGGTGAGGTTACCTAAAGGGAGGTTTGTCCACCGCCGATCATAGTTGATAGCTAAGTCAAAAAAATGAAGAAGACGAAAGCAGTTCAGTTCGTATGGAGATCCTCCGCGAAACAGCCAATAGTTAAGAAGACGAGATCGAAGACGATTCGGCTTGAAAAAGATAGCATATTCGTTTTCACGTGTCGCCGGGACAGTATAAGCGGGTTCAGTTATGAGAGACTGAGCGTGGGTGGGTCTGAGTGTGAGCGAGCCTGAGTGGTTTTCTGCCAGTCCCAGCGGGAATGACGTGAATTTGAATGGCCTGTGCGCACTAGCACGGGCATGGCTGAGCTGAGTAGAAGTTTTTATGAGTGTAGGTTGTCTGAACTTCCGAGTCCAAGTGTGAGTGGGTTTGAGTGTGAATGAGTCTGAGTATGAGCGAGCGTGAGTGTGAGCATGAAAGGAGGAATCTGAAGGTGAGGCGGAGGCGACCCAGTAATAACAAAACCGATCATACGATGGGGACGAGGAGGAGGAGGAGGAGGAGGAGGAGGAGGAGGAGGAGGAGGAGGAGGAGGAGAGGGAGGAGCGGGAGTGAGAGGCGGAGGCGTCACACTAAGAACATCATCATCATCATCATCATCATCATCATCATCACCATCATCATCATCATCATCATCATCAACAACACCAACAACGACACCAACAACAAACACGACGACGACAGCAACAACAACAACAACAACAACCACAATATCAGCACCAACAGCAATCATGTTAAGACTGTTCGCTCTTATCTGCTCGCGGGCCATTCAACACGTATATCCCAAACCCTCGATATTTGCCCTCTTCGTCTTCGATCGTACCCCCTTGGGGTATCTATTTTTCTTGCCTGCAATGTGTATTTCGTGCAGCCTCTAAGCCAGGGGAAGAGAGGACTGATGGAAGGAAGGGACAAGGGGGAGGGAGTAGGATGGAGCACATTGGAGCACGGGATTAGCAGGAGGGGGGCTAGGAGCAGAAAACATGGGCAGAACCAGACGGGCGGGTAGACCCTAACGGGCGGGTCGGGAAGGCGGGCCCAAGCGGCCAGGTCTAGCAGGCGGCTTTCGAGCGTGATTATTGCATGAGTCGCGAGGAAATGTCGAGCGATAGCGCGATTCTCACATAAATCGTGAGGAAATCCACAGCGAGAGCGCGCTTCCCAAATACATCGAGAGGAAGTCCCACGCGAGAGCGCGATTCTGGTATACATTGTGAGGATGTCCCTCACGAGAGCGCGATTTGGGCATACATTGTGAGGAAGTATCAGGCGGGAGCCGCTGCTGTTGTAAACTGGGGGCCAGGGGCGCAGTTTGGTGACACCTCGCTTCCCCTTGTGAAAAACAGGGTGCGAGCCCCAGGAAAAGCGTTTCAATTAAAGCATGCAACGGTTACTGGCCTGGGGGATCAACAGCAATGATATGATAGAAATGATAATGAATTCGCCAACAACAACAAGAACAGCAGCAGCAGCAACGACAACATGAACAACAACAGCAACAACAACAGCCAAAACAGCACTGACAACAACACCAACAACAACAACCACAACAACAGCAACGACACGAGCAACAATAACACCACAACATGGTTAATGATACAAATGGTTATACTAATAATGACAAAAGCAATAACAACAACAGCAGCGACAGCAACAGCAACACCAACACCAACAATCCAATACTTAGGATATCAGGGAAGAGGGACACTCAACCCGCAGCTGGCGCCAGCCCGAGTGTCCCCCAGTGATGAGCAACCTCGGAACATCTGGGAACCTCCCGGAAGCCTCTTGGAGCCATCGTGGGGTTCTTTTGGGATCCTTGGGGGAGCCTTTGGGTCCTCTTGGAGCTCTCCGGGTGCCCTTTGGGACGCCTTTCGGGCCCCCTTGGGGCCACCCTAGATGCCAGCGAACGAAAAAGGAAGTGCACCCATTCAGAAATTCGCCTCCATGGGGCTTTTTGCGACTCTATTGGGGTGATCTTGGGAGCCTTGTGTGGCCCTGTTGGGCACCATCTCAGGCCACATCGAGGCCCGAGAAGCCCACCAGAAGTGAAATGGCGAGACGTCTCAAAACGCACGATGATTGCAATCGTTTAAGTGATTTCGGCTTCGGGTAATCCTTGGAAGGCCCTGTGGCCACCTCCAGCCATCTTGAGGCCGTCTTGAGGGCTCCTGGAGCCATGCTGAAGCCATCGTTGGACAACGTGGGCATCTTGCCCAATGCGACATGTTGCAGACTTGTGCTCAGCGTTCAGCCTTGGTTGGTAAGCAGAGGAGCAGCTGTCCGACGGATGTAGCACCAGAGATCCCGCTAAGGTAAAAATGATGGACGACCCCGTGAACAGAGTGTCAGCAATGGCTTTGTCTGCTTTTGTTGCATTCACCGAGCCTCTCGACACCACCTTAATGGTAGGTTACGCGCGAGGTTTTATGGAGAAGCTCGTCGCTAAGCTTCAGTCCGCGCAGCACAGGGGCGTCCGGGAGGAGTGCATCACGTCCATTGCCGTGATCGCTGGGGTCATCGGGAAGGATTTTTCTTTGTATTATGATGGGATCATGCCTTTGCTGAAGCAGTTCGTGATGCAGCTCACGGGCGAGAAAGAGAATCGCCCGCGTCTCAGCATGCGCAGACACTATGTGCCCTGGGTAAGCGAAAGGAAGAGTGCTGCTGGATTGTCCTGGGGGCCCGCCACCTGGGAGGTCTTAGATCGAGACGTTCACAACGGGGGCCGTCTTCCTCCTATCCCTTCCCCTTCCTCCGCACCCACCTCACCTCCCCTCCCTCAGGAGATCGGCCACGCGCAGATGGGGGCAGGGGGCGGGGGGGAGGCTTCCTAGAGGGAGGCTGCGTCTTGGAAGGCAGGTCGCTTGTTAGAGGGTGCGGGCCTGATCTACACATCTAGGGCTGGCCCCACCGACAGTGAAGGCCCATGCCAAGAAGCACCCTGCTTGCCTCCAGGGTGCCCTGGGTTTCCTGGGTTTCGATGGTTTTGCGATGGAAAGCGTGACGCTTCCACGCCAAAAATCAATGGACGTCCTGGAGTCTCAGGGTTGGGCTTCCTGTGGGGAAGGTTTCTTGTGGTCGAGCTCCTACTATACCCCACCTCCCCTCCCCAGGAGGTCGGCCACGCGCAGAGGGAGGCAGGGGGAAGGGGGAAGGCTTCTTCGAAGGAGGCTGCTTCTTAGATTGTCTTAGAATGTGCGGGCCTTGTCTACAAATGCAAGGTCGGCGGCTTCTGAGAAGCAGCCTCCTTCTGAGGAGCCCTCCCGGCTCCTCCTGCCCATTTTGTGCGCGCCGCCAAGGAGAGACGTCAGGAGGACTGGGAGGATTCGGGGGGACTCTGCGGGACCAGGTCAGCTTGTGACCGGGGGTGCCTCGGGTGGGTGTTGCCCAGCCTTCCTGCGCTCGAGCAGGGCCTTCGGCGCTTGTCTGCTCGCCCGCACATCGTTGGTGCTGGCGAGACTGGCGTCGGGATGGGAAGAAGGACAGTGGATATTCGGTCACGCGCAGAGGGGGGTAGGGGGAGGGGAGGAAGGCTTCTTAGAAGCACCCCTGCTTCTTAGAAGGCGCGGGCCTTGTCTGCAGATGTGAGGCCGGTGCCGCCTTAGCAGCAGCCTTCTTCTAAGAGGCCTTGCCCCTTCCCCCTACCACCGTGTGCGCGCTGCCAAGACATGGCAGCGATTGGGCTCTGGAGCAGCAGAAGAAGGACGAGCAAGACGGATGCCGAGAGAACCATGGTGAGGCATGGAGCTAGAGTGCAGCCGCACTTATCACACGCGTGGCCCTCCTCAGAACACCCAGCTCGGTGGGATCCACATCAGGGAAGCGCTTGAGGATGCAAGCAGCAAGAGGAACTGATGAGGGAGGCTCATAATGAGAATGAGGCGGAGGATGAGGACGGCATCTTCCGAGGTCTACGCGGGAAGTCATTTGAGTGCATGTCCTTGTTGGGCCTAGCAGTTGGCAAGGACAAATTCCTGCCCGACGCTCGAGAGGCGATCCAGGCGATGATGAGCGCAACAGGTCAGGTGGATGATATACTGCGCGAGTACATCGAGCAGGCATCGGAACGCATCTGCAAATGCCTGAAGAAGGACTTCGCGCCATTTCTGCAGGCGGTCCTGCCAGGGCTCATCAAGAATCTCGCCCTGGAGAGCTCCCCAGCAGCCGAGGCCGCGGGGCAGGACAGCGAATACTACCAGGTCACCCGAGGGGACGGGCAGGTGGTGCAGGTGCACACCGACAAGTTCAACGAGCTGATGCAGTCGCTGAGGCTGCTGACCACGTACTGCACAGAGCTCGAGGGCGCCTTCTACGACTGCCTCGCGCCAGCTGCCCAGGCGCTGCTGCCACTTCTGTCTGCCTCTAACGATAGGTACACGTCGTACGACGACGCCCGCAGCACTGCGCTGTGGACTTGGGCGCTGCTCATCAAGGCGGCACGGGCTGGAGCCGCCGAGAGGGGACTGCCGCCGAGCGTCGCAGGGGAGCTCTTGCGCGCGGCGCTGCAGCAGACGTTCCAGGCGATGGACGTCTGCGCCTATGCGGAAACCCTGTCCTCGAACGCGAGCAGCCTGACGGAGTGCATCAAGAACGGAGGCCCTGGGGTCCTCACCGACGGGGAGATCGTGCAGATTGCCCAGAAGATGTTCGCGATGGTGGACCAGTCCCTCGCGCGGAGCGCCAAGAAGCAGGCGCAGCGGCAGGGCGCCGCCACAGCCGCTCCCGGCGAGGACGACGAGGGCGAGGACGAAGAGAACGAGTGGGAGGCGTCGTGCAGACAGGCGTACGTGGAGGTGCTGGGGTCTCTGATGAAGGTGTGCCCCGCGGAGTTCGAATACCACACGCTGTTTCTGTTTATGACTGCTGGCTGGCCTGAGCAAGCGTTCTGCCCCGCCCGACATGTTGGGGTCGCTAGAGTTTAAGGACAGACCTCCCGACCCGTCCACCCTGCAGACCGCGGCCGCCAGATCCCCACGTCCCCCGAGGATTCCCGAGAGTCCCGCCTCGCGCCACTCTGCATACCGCGGCCGCCAGATCCCCACGTCCCCCGAGGATCCCCGAGAGTCCCGCCTCGCGCCACTCTGCATACCGCGGCCGCCAGACCCCCAGATCACCGAGTGTCCCCGAGAGTCCCGCCTCGCGCCACTAAGCAACCCGCGGCCGCCAGATCCTCAGGTTCCCCGAGTGTCCCCGAGAGTCCCGCCACGCGCCACTCTGCAACCCGCGGCCGCCAGATCCTCAGGTCCCCCGAGTGTCCCCGAGAGTCCCGCCGCGCGCCGACAAAGCAGAACATGACAGAACGGTATTATACAATAGCAGAACATAGTACAGCACAATATTAGAAGCTATGGCAGTACAGAGCATATCACCACACCACAACAGGACATATCTGATCATAGCAGACTAGATCACGACGTAACAGATCGTAACATAACACACCATGACAGATCAGTACATACCATGGCATGCCATCGCAGCATACAACATTCCATGACACGGCAAAGCTGGCATTCCATAAGAACACAACGCATACTTTGACATACCAAAACAGAACATGCCACAGCCTTACATAACATGGCATAGACCATTCTATCATAACACAACAGGGCAATGCATGCTACGACAGACCCGGGGATGCATACCGTAAAATAACATAATCGATCATAGTATAACATGGCATAACATAGCATACCATACCGTATCATACCATAACATAACACACCACACCATAACGCAGCATCACAGCACCTATAGGATGACAGCGCCGCAGCACATACGACACATCATGACATGACAGAGCGCGACATAAGATGTGCGACCATAGCAGAACATAGCACAGCACAAAACCATACACCATGAAACCATGGATCATACAGAACCGAGCATAACACCACACCGATTAACATACCATAGTCGACCATACCATAACATGCCATGCCATAACATATCATATCATATAATACCATGGCAAACCACATCACACCGTAGCACAGCATCAAATCACATAGCATTCCATAAAACATGATTCATCATACAATGACAGAGCGCCGCATAACATATGGTAGTATGACAAACTATAATCTATCATAACACCAAAAGATCACCACGTATAACATGCCATATGATGTCATAACAGGACATAAAAGGACACAACATAAGAACACAAGTGCACTGACATAATGCAGCAGACAAGTCATACCATAGCAGCACACATCATAACAGCACATGACAGAGCACACCAGAACGCAGCGTACGGCAACAGGGCAACACATTTCACGCAATGGCA